AATTTCAATAATCTATGTTTTTATTTATGACAACCACCTAATAACCTAACTTTAACGAATTTCTGAATTCGCTAACGCCAACTTATTTTTCATTAAAAAAAATTACCAAGTTTCGTAACTAGGTCGGCCATATTGAGGAACTTTTAAAAGAATAGTACTATAGGCGCGTTTATATTATTTTCTATATATTTTATTCTCAATGTCGTTGGAAATTGGTGAAATCGACCCAGATGTAATATTAGTATGCAAGCAATACTCTGATAATTTAATGGAGCATACCACTTTGAAACAAAATATTGAAGCTGTTCCTATATGTGTTATCATGTTTTACCTCACTGTGTAATGAGAAACAAGTCTTATAATTTGAATTTTAGTTAAACGTTCTAGTGTAAATAAATACCTGGAAAGTATTCGTTCGCTAATTAATTCAGATACTAGTTTACGTATCTCGTCAGTAGTAGTGTGGAATGATAAATTCTATAAAAATAACTCATCTAAAAGAAAAATGGCCCTTATAAATTCCACTAACTCAGAAGGTTATTTGCTATTTATAAAAGTTTATTTGAAACGTACCGATCAGAATGATATTTATTTATAAATTAAAGCAATACAACATATTTTCATATATGATTAATACATTTTATTTTCTTCCTATCTAAGATAAATTCGTTCTTTAATTTTAAAATTATTAAAATGTTAATAACTGGACTATATTTACAATTTTTTTATAGCAATAAACACTGCATTTTAAAACTACTTAAAATATTTCTAAAACCATATAAATATATACACGTTTGATTTTTAATTAAAGATCATAGAGAAAAATATTATGAAGTTCGTTTAAAATTTTAGACACACAAGATCGGGATAAAAATAAAAATATCAAGTTCCGAACTTTTAAAATGATTACGTAAAAATCTAGTTCTAGAAATATTTTATACAAAAATCAATGCCGCGCTTGGCAGCTTATTAGATCCTCTTACTACCGTATATAATACAAATATTTTGATATAGTTTGTACGAATTTGTATATATGTTCAGTCAATTTATTAATATATAAAAATCTTACAACGATCGTACAACATATATCAAACAAAACCACATACATAGGTAACAAATTGTAAATAAATAATATACATTTTTGGCATCATGAAAATTACACAAATATACTTCTTTGGTATAAAAGACTTACGAAGATTAGAAAATATGGTGGCTACAAAAGTTTTAATAAAGAAGTGATTTATAGAAATACAAAAAATTAAAAAAAAAAATTGTTATTCTCTTTCAATAACAAATATGTCGATTGGATATAGGAAGTACCAAGTGTTTAATAACATAACAATAATTAATAACAAAAGTGTTACAAAGCCCCTATGTCATTTTGATTTAATTCAGTTAAAGCAAGCTACTCAATAGCACCCTTATATTTGATGAACTTAAAACGTGGCATTATAAAATAAAGATCGGTGTAACATTAACTTTGAATCAAAGTATTAAGGAAGGGTCCAAAAACTTTCAGCGTGAGGACGTCCTAGTATAGTCTTACATTAAAGCGGTTTTCGCTTTTTTAATGGATTTTTTTCTATACTCGAGATAGAATAGGTAAAATAGGTTATACCAAATTTGGTTTGGAGTGTTTTATAGAGACGAGCAAAAAGATATGTACAGATATTTCAGTAAGATGCTACAAGGGGTTCAAAATATATTTATGAATTTCTTCTATTCAAATTAAAAATTATTAATTTTTTTAAATAGCACACCCTATATATATATATATATATATATTATCATTTATTCTCATAGATTTTGCTAAATTCTTCAGCTATTATGAAGCAAACTATTTATAATAGTTTGTGACTTATTCTAAATTAATAGCAAAATAATAATTAAATGTTCGCTCTTTTTTTAATTCATTTATGCTAAATCATCATATTTGCCATGACAAAACAAAAATATTTATTATTAGCCATTAATAAGTAGAGGGAAATTAAAACAACTTTCGTTGCACGTCATCAATGACACCATGCGTCGTCTTATGGAGTTTGCTGGTGGTCGTATTATGATCATAGTTGTATGTGATTGTTTTAATATACAGGGCTGTTCACCACATACGACACGGAGTAGCTAAACGATTAGATTTTTACAAATTGTAAATTTTGGGTTCGTTGAAAGACTATTAGAGCTACAATTTGAAAATATTTTTACAAGATACAGAGTGTCCCAAATAAGTAAAAATTATTATGGTTGTATTTTTCTAAATAGATCACCCTGTATATTATTCAATTTTTGGATTCTATGATTGAAATAAAGGTAAATTTGATTAAGGTTTATCGCACTTAAACATTACCGTTTTTGAAATATTTTCAATTTTATGAAATTGCAGTAAAAATGTTAAGGCTTCATTTCTCCAAGGGTATCAAAGTTTTTATTCCTAAATATTTACTGAAGATTATTTATAGATTAGATATTGTGTTGCAATAATAAAAATTTTACTACCTTATACAGAGTGTCCAAAAATCTATATTAAATAATTACTAGCTTTAAACGGCAATAACTTGTTTAATTTAAATGGAACACCCTGTATATTTTACGTGAATCATATGCACAATTTAATTGTCTATCAAATTTTATTATACCATTTTTACCTATCTCTTCAAATTTTCATAAAAAATTCATTTTCTTATAATTTAGACCTCATTTATCACTATACCGATGGAATATTGACATTTCAGGTTTTTTTAAAACAACATATATGTACAAAATGTACAGGTGGTAAATATTGCAAGCCCATTGGTATACAAAAAAAAATATTTAAATCTTTGTAAAAGAGTATAACAATTAAATATCCCACCATTATTTCCGACCAAAAATTAGTTAATTACATACTTTTAAATTGTTTTAAATAATAAAGTATTCTAAATAAATGTGGATTTGACTCAGAAATCAATATAATAATAAGTTATGAAAATAAACGTCTCTGTTTTTATAAATAAGCATTCGTCAAAAAATTAAATAAAATTTATAAGGTGTTACTTTTTACCACACTGTCTAATACACACACAAAATTCAGTTTTTAGTATTTGGAGCAGTTATTATTAATCAACGTAAACAGTCAATTAATGTAGTTTAACTACTAATTTAACAAAAAATATTTAAACATTTTTTTTTTATTTTTTAATGAAATAAGCGAACTATATCGACAATATTAGTATCTGTACTCTTTGAAAATTTGTTACATCTTTAAAAATAATTTAAAATGTTAATATTCCATGGGTATAGTGATAAATTAGGTCTAAATTATAAGAAAATGAATTTTTTTGCGAAAACTTGAAGAGATCAGTAAAAAATGGTAAATACAATTTGATAGACAATGACATTGTGCATCTGATTCACGTAAAATATATAGGGTGTTCCATTTAAATTAAACACGTTATTGCCGTTTAAAGCTAGTAATTATTTAATATAAATTTTTAGACACTCTGTATAAGGTAGTAAAATGTTTATTATTATTAGCCACACAATATCTGATCAAGATAATCTTTAGTAAATATTTAGTATTAAAAACTTTTATACCCTTGGAGAAATGAAGCCTTAAAATTTTTACTGCAAATTCATAAAATTGAAAATATTTCAAAAATTGCAAGGTTTAAGTGTTATAAACCTTAATCAAATTTACCTTTATTTAAATCGTAGAATCTAAAAATAGAATAATATACAGGGAGTTCCATTTACACTACTATAATACTTTTTACTTATTTGAGACACTCTGCATCTTGTAAAAATAGTTTTAAATTGTAGCTCTAATAGTCCTTCAACGAACCCAAAACTTAGAATTTGTAAAAATCTAATCGTTTAGCTACAATACTCCGTGTCGTATGTGGTGAACAACCCTGTATAATTAGTAATTAGTTAAAAAGTGTTATTATTGGTCTATTTTATTAGCTTTACTCAAACTAAAAGCAAGCAGAGTCCTGAAGTTCTTGGTGTAGGTATTTCTATATTATAGGTTGACAGTTGGATTTCCGCTTTGTGCGAATAGACATAGATTAGGTAGACTAGATTACCTAGTTGACGACTATTGATAGGGAATTTTCTTCGACATGAAGTGAAATAATTGTTTTTTCACTTGTTGCAATCTGCCGCATTGCCCACTTATACGCACCTGAATCAACCAACTGAATTTTGTACGGGTGGAACTTGTGTTTTTTTAATATCCTTTTGACACTTGTACGATTCACGCCAGTCTCATTGGTTAAGTTTCTTGTACTCAGCGTACTATCCATGGCAACTTGGCCCAATGCGAATACCTCCATAGCTTCATTTACTACAGGATTTTTCCTCTGCCGCTTTTTATTCATAACGGAACCAATTTCGCGAAATTATACTATTAACTCGCGAACAATTTTGCCATAATGGTGTTTGTCAGGATAGCGTTCATTGAATATCTGCGCAACCCGATTGCCACATTCAATATTTTTAAAATAAAGTTCGATTATTTCCACTTTTTCTGTAAGTGAGTACACCATAATTGTTAAAAAGTTTAACGATATTGAGAAGAACTTCAACGCATAAGTCACAGAACAGCTATCTAGCAACTACCGCACCTGATGATTCAACCTTGTGGCAAGTGAAGAAATGCGTAAACATCTAGAAATAATAAGAAAAAATAGCAAATTGGTTGAAGGAATTTATCCTTATCATTTACTCTGATAAATGTTTAAATCAACTTTTTAAATTTCAATCTTTCATATTTTCTCAATGACTCGATCGATTTTCAAAAACGAAGCCGGAAGGTATAGAGAATAGAAAGCCCTTTTCATTGCGGTACCCCTTGACCCCCCTTCCCATTTAAAAAAAATTGGGGGATGACACCCCCGCTTAGAGTGTTGAAGATTTTGCAATCATTATTGGGACAAAAGTTGTCCCCCTCACAAACAAAATTGACGTGTTTTTGAATTTTCTGAAAAAAAAATTACCCTGGCCGTTATGCCTTGCGGAAAGTTTTCGATGGGCCACCCTGTATAGTATTATCATTTAGTTCCTCGTATCGTACTTATACCTATACTTAATATGTATAATATTGTATCGTAAATGTAATCAAAAATGAGAGTTCTATGAAAATATAATAGTAGATACGACTATAGTAAAGCCGTAAACTATTTCAAAAATCCGAAAGGCGCATATATTTGAGCTCACAAAACTGCAATTCTTTCCCCGTAACTCTCTAACTCCAGTAGACTCCAAAATACCCGTAGAAAACTCATCCTGAAAATTAATTTAAAGTGAATTTTATAAATTACCTTTTTTTTCGTTATTTTTCAGTGAAACGTTATTCCATTATTTCTCCCGATTTTTGACAGACCCCCCTACCGCCTCGCTTCACAACTATTTTACGGTAAATCGCAATAGTGTCACTATTAATTTACGTTCTGTTACCATTTCCATCTAGATTTACTACCTCTATACAAAACCGATTGTAGAATAAATAATAAATAATATAAAATATCCTCAGTAAAGAAAAATAAATACACAAAATATCAAATCAAATTTAAATGTTCCAATTGAAATGCTGAAACAGAACTGTAAGGGATAGGACCTATGATATCGATTCGGTCTACCATTCATGAATACATTAATAGCGCTATACTCCTTCCTTAATCTTTTTATTCAAAGATCATTGCCAAGGTGTTACTATTGTTATAATAACCTGTAATGTTAAAGATTAAAATCAAAAATACAGTAAAATTTATAATTATGATAATATAATACTGGTTTATACAAAAAAACAGAAACATTTCCGTCTTTTAGCATTCAAATTGATATGTTTCATGAACATTAATTATTGCTCGCTGTAAAAAAAACCTTTGTTGATGTATATGAATATATATAGCAGTTGAGATAATCATTTAGATGTACACTATTTCAAAAATGTTCAAGTTACTGCTCCTAATAGTGTGTATTCCGCAGTACATTTATTATATGTTACGGTTAAAGTCCGATATCCGGTTAACGTCGACATTAAAGTTAATGTTTGGCTTTGCTGTTGTATTTGTTTGTTTTGTTTTGTTATTCTCGAGATTAGCCCTGTAATATTGAGATTAACTTTATTTCGAACCTTAACCGTACATATACATAGACCAAAATAATTCGCATTATAACTATATTTCCTTATCTAAGTACCGCTACAGGACAATTTAAGGAAACTTTACTGTATATTTTGTAAGAATTAAATAGAATAGAAAATATCTTATATTTAAAATTTTTATTTCTTTAATCAATTTGTCAATTGACATAAACAGATTTATCGTTGGGTAGTTTCATTTATCAAAACTCTTTGCGCCACCAAGTAAGCTTTTTAATTCTTGGTACATCACACTTGGTAATTGAATACTTTTAATTCTCGTTAACTGTTTTTATATTATGGCACTAGCATTCGCTCCATGTAAGCCACCAACTATTTGGACAGGATTGTTGATTTGAGTCACGTTTTCGTCTACGTTTTTTCGTTGATTCTGTTTGTTTCTTTACAAATTTTATGTTATATGGGTCTTCGGCTAATTCAGGATACTCTTGGACATCGTGAACATACTGACCTTCGTAGTTTGCTACATAACCATTTTTTAAGAGTTCCTCAATTTCAGCAGCTGACCAGTCGAAGCTTCCGGTGAAACCGCTCTTGTACGTATCTTTTTCTCTGTGCCAGGCTTTTCTTATAGCAGAAATCTTGGCATGATGTAATAGTCTTTGTTTTTCTTTTTCTATTGTTGTACCGTATCTTAAATAAATCAAATTTATTATTATTGATAAAATAAATATTATTTAAATACTATTAGATGCCTTAGTTTATATATATATATATATATATATATATATATATATATATATATATATATATATATATATATATATATATATATATATATATATATATATATATATATATATATATATATATATATATATAAAAGTGCACTTAAAAACGTCAACATAGATTGTTTTTTTATTTATAAAATAATAAGTTTTATTTATCTTTTAATTCAAAGTAAATTTATCACCACATGAGTAGTCCGGCACGCGTCGGCGACGGTCGCGATGTCGGATGATCCGAAAGATCCTGATAAGTCTGACAAAATCAAGTGCAAAATTTGTCTAGAAAATGCTGATAAACGTAGTTTAAAGTGTAGTAATCAAAACTGTGCAGTTTACATTCATAAAAAATGTTTCGAAAATATCGCCAAGTGGTTTTCTATCGATTTAAAAAACTGGCGCTGCCGAGGCTGTTCTGAGGACGGAAAACGTTCCAGACTTGCATCTTCATCTGCTGATATACCGTGCGATAGTGTTGTGGTTTTGAAAAAGGAAATAGAGTGTTTAACGAGGGAAAGGAAGCTGATGAATAAATTGGGAAGTGAGAGAGAATACACTATCTCTATTCTACAAAAGGATTTGGCCGACGTGAATTCCAAGGTATGCAGAAACACGGCCGCTGATAATTTTTTATCTTGCGATGAGCAAAAAAGTGCTAATACGGCTACTTTATCTTATAGTGAAGCGACAAAAACGAAGAATATAGTCAAGTCAAAACCCTATTTACTAATAAAATCGACGGATAGAAATGTATTAAATTCATCTGTAGAAAAAATATTTAAATCTCGTTTTTCACCAGGCTCACTGAATGTCGAAATAAATAATACCAAGTGTACCAAAGACGGTTTCCAAATTTCTTGTAATAGTGAAACCGACATAACAAATCTGAAAGATCATCTAAAAGAAAAAATTGGAAATGAGTTTGAAGTGTGTGACCAAAAAAGATTGAATCCGAGAGTGGCAGTTTACGGAATTCCCGCAGATTTTAAAAAGGCCGGAACAAAACTTGAGCTCGTAGATGACTTTATCGAAAAAATAATATACGATAACAATCTCGATACGAATATCGGTGACATAAAACTTGTTTATGCGTTTCAAAAAAAATCTTTAATTAACGTAGTTTTAGAATTATCAAGTAGTTTTTATAAATTTCTTTCCAACAGGGGTTTTGTATATATAGGTTGGCAAAGATACAGGGTAAATGATTATTTTAATATTGTTCGTTGTTATAATTGCTGTAAATATGGACATTTAAGTAAAGATTGTAAAAATAATATAGTTTGTCAAAATTGCTCTGGTTCTCATAATGCTAAGGATTGCAGGGCAGATGTCAAATGTTGTCCTAACTGTGAATTTCACAACACTAAATTCAATACAAGTTGGTCTACCGAACACGATGCTGGAAATAGGTCTTGTAGCTTTTATATATCGAGACTAAATTATTTTAAAGCAAATATTAATTATGACTGACAATAGTTGCTACATATTTAAAGTAGGACATTTAAATGTAAGATCAATTTTCACAAATTTTAACAATTTCACAGATTTAATGGCCTCTGAGCGTTTTGACGTAATGTGTATTTCTGAGACATGGATTGCATCAAATTACGCAACCGATATGATACATCTTCCAAATTATTTGTTTTTTCATAAAGATAAGGTCGTGGAGGAGGAGTTGGAATGTATATCCATGAGGATATTTCTTGTAAGGTTGTGTTTTCTGATCTAGAGGAAATGGAGGGAGTGGATCAGCTCTTTCTTGAAGTTACAGTTCGTAATTTTAAAATTTTATTTTGTGTTTTATATAGAGCACCCTCTGGTAGTATCCCACATTTTGTGGAGCATGTAGATAATATTATGTCATTTGTTATACCGCAATATGACCATATATGTTTTACCGGAGATATAAATATAAATCACCTAACAGATAACAGTTTTCTGGACTGCATATCGCCTTTTGACATGATTTCTCTTATTAAAGAACCTACACGTACTGCAGTCTGTTCGCAATCTTGTATGGATGTTATTTGTTTAAGCTCGGTACTTTCAGATATGGTAACATCTTCTGGCCTTACTCCTGCAGATGACATTTCAGACCACAGTTTACTTTATTGTTCTTTGGATTTGAATTTGCCTAAAACTTTACCGCGTGAAATTGTGTTTAGAGACTTTAAGTATTTCTCTAGGGCAAGCTTTTTGAATGATTTACATGCTGTTAACTGGAATTCTATTTACTACATGAAAAACATCGACGAAAAAGTAAACTTTCTGTCAAATAAAATTATTGACCTATTTAATATGCATGCGCCTCTTTTGTCTAGGCGAGTGACGAAGCCATGTGCTCCGTGGTTGTCATGTAATACAAAATTGTTAATTAAGGAGAGAAATAACGCCTTGACAAAATACAAAAAATCTAAATCTACGTCAGATTTGGCCTATTATAAATCACTTCGTAATCTAGTTACCAACATAGTACGTCAGGAGAAAAGGGCTTTCTTAAATTTACATGACTCTAACACAAACAGCAAAATACTTTGGAAAGCTCTAAAAACTTTGAATATTAAATCTAAGCAAACAGAATCTATTATTTCATTCCATCAGTGAAATAAAACAAGAAATACTCAACCTATCATCCATTTTTATGGACTTTCAGGATGAGTCTGTTAGGGTCCAGGTTCATGACTCTTCAAAGGTAGATCTTTTGAAGGAAGTCAGTGAGCTGCGTAGGAGCGTAAATCAGATAACAACCACAATAGAAAAGTTTGCTGCCCAAGGCAAGCAAAATAATAGGAGTAGCCCACCAGCAATAAAAAAGTCAACTTCGACTCAGACAGATTGCCAAGCCTCAGTGGGTGTCACTTCTTCTAAAGTCAGTACTCCCCCACCTCACAAACCCTCCATTAGAAAAGCCTGGCATTATGTCGTTGTGTCCAATATCCCATCTCCCTTTACGGCAAACCAACTGGCTCACTATATCAAGGATAAACTTGGAACTTCGGACTTTATTCGTTGCTTTCCTATGCTTAATAGTGAGGACAGTTCACTCTCAAAATTCAAAGTTGGAGTGCAGAATATAAGGCACCTAGAGCGGCTGCTTGATATAAGTATGTGGCCCCCAGGAATTGAAGTAGTCAATAGCAATGTCCAACCATCTTTGACTCCCTCGGAGGTATCGCCGCAAAAATCAAGATCTTCTGCCATGGGATTTCAACAGCCTAAGATTTCCACTTTGGAGAAACGAAGCCTTCCACAATCTTCCAATTTACCTACAGATCTAGCCAAGGAGGTCAAATACGTTAAAATTGGTTCAGACAGGGAGGCTATAGCTGCGAGTAAGTCCTTTGGGCAGCAGGAGGCGAAAAATATTATCAATAAGCATCCAAGGGAAGGTGAGGTGCTGAGTTTGGACCCAATGACTCCACCTATTGTGCGGTTATCGCGTGAATCGGACACGGCCAATGGACGTTATTTGTTGGCGAGACTAAGGGACCCTTCGATATTGAAAGCTGTCAGGCTATTCCTTGCGTACCTCCATGACCAACCCCCCAGTGCGTGTTTTGAGGGACACACCAACACCAGCATCAAGTTGGCGCTAGCATCGGAAGGTCTCCCATGCGACATGGACTCCCTGCGCAAGTTGTTTTATCGCTTCCACGACGCGTATGGCATTGGCGTGGCTGAGGTTGAGGCAGATCTCTCCGCCTTCAGGACCTTTTTCTCATCAGAGAAGCTATTTCACCTTCAGAAGTCTAGGGAAAGCCACAGCAAGTATTTTTCCAGTGGCTCTCCATCTAAAAATAAAAATTTTTAATTCATTTGACGCGAACAGAGGATCAAGCACCCTCTGATAAATCGGACGATAGCAAGCTAGGTATTTTTCTTATCAATGTTCAGTCCTTAAGACACAAAACAGATGAATTATTTCTTTTATTGGAACAGCTCAAATTTCCTGAAATCATTGCCATAACGGAACATTGGTTAAATACCGATGAGCCCGTGTTTGTGAAAAATTACACAACAATAGCTAGATTTAATAGAAGTAATTTATCTCATGGAGGTACTATGATAATGTCTACCAACAAAAACCTTACGGCAATAACAAAATTTGATCACTTATTAGCCGAGAAAATGTTTGAATTTTCTATCATCTACCACATTGCTTATGACCTCTATATTGTTTGTATTTATAGAACACCTGACGCAGATATGCATATGTTCTTTCAGAAATTACTGAGTTTGCTAGAGTCCCTGCCTGTGAATAGCAGGTTGATCTTGTGTGGTGACCTAATATTGACTTCTCCAGTGTGTGTGATGCTCGGGTATCTCTCCAGTCTATCTTCGAGACTTTTGGTGTAGTAATGCATGTTAATGCACCAACAAGAATCACTAGAACTTGTTCTAGTACTATAGACTATGTCGTGTCATCCTTTGATCCAGAATTGGTTGACTGTACTGTGTTGAACTCAGGCTTCTCTGATCATGAAGGAGTATTAACAAAATTTTCCATAAAATCCGAGAGTAGAAACACTTTTCGTAAATTAGGACGTATTTTTTCGGAAAAAAACTTTATAAATTTTAAGCAGCTTTGTCTAACAACAGATTGGCATGTCATCTCTGGTGATGTAGACACTGAAGTTTCCAGATTTACACAAACATTATCTGGTCTGGCATCCAAAGCCTTTCCTCTCAGGCCTGTCAAAATTAAACATCATAAACCCTGGACTATTAAGGGCCTACGTACATCTGCAAAAAACATGCGCTCTTTATCTCACCTAAAAAAATTCTCGGATAGTGTCTTCTTTCACGAGTACGTGAAACTTTACAGGAAAATTTACCATAAGACTATAAAAGCCGCCAAGGACATCTATTACAATAGGAGGTTGACTGAGTCCGGTAATATTGCCAAAG